GGTGGTTGTGGGTTGTGGGCCATTCTTTTACTTATCTGGGGTCCAGGTACGGGTGACGACCCGCTACAGGGCCCCCAAACGTGGCATGTCATCAATCCTTGGCAGCAGCGCAGGAATGATAGCCATGCAGACTACAAGCTGTGGATCGGGTGCCTTTTGTACTGTATTTGGCTGGTGGTTGCGCTGCATTAGAGGGACATGAATGCATTCTGGGCCAAGCTGCTAATGGTGCTCGGGTTAGACCTTGTGCTCCTGCATGTCCTGCAGCAAGCCTCGTTCTGGCGAGCCATTCTTCTGGTGGCTCCGGCGTTACAGACCTTGGCCTCTGGGTTCACATTGGGGAGCCTTTGTTATGTGCTATCGGGTAAGGGATGGTGGGGGTTTCCTTGCAGAACTCTAAGAGCAAGGTTTCTTCCTAAGGGAATAGGCGCTGAGGTGTGGCTGCTGATGTGTTTGTGGCTGGAGCCCCTTACTGGAAGCAGCTTCATCCTTGAGGTCGTAAGCCGTTATGAAGATTTTGCAGTTCCTACCTTGCAGGTGTGCATCATCTTCATGGGGCAATGCATGCTACTGGGATATTACGGCGTTGCCCTGCTTGCGGTGGAGTTACACGAGATCTCCTACTTGAATTGGGTCGTTGCCTTTGTTGCAGTGCAAATGGGGGCTCTGTTCAACAGAGGAAAGGACAGCGAGTTGGGTCTACCCTGTATTTCGGGATATTATCAAATGGAAAAGAAAATGGAAAATGAAATGGAAACTGGGGTAATATAGGGATTTAAGGAAGTTTGGTCTGTTAAGTGGTGGGCCATTGCCAGGCATTCTGCAACCTGCCACGTTGTAACTTCCAATGGCCGCATCATAAAGCCGTGGCCATGGCAGTTGTGGATGCGGCACCTCTTCGGATTCCTCGCCAACAATCTGGGCTGGAACTTGATTGCGTACACGTGCCCAATTTTCCTGATGCGCCGGGGGCCTGTTCTAGATTTTCTGATGAACAGCTTGGCGCTGGCTGTTATCACAAAGCTGGATGATACAGGTGAGTCACAAATAACTGTCACACTGTGCAATGGGAGTTATAGCAGCCATGAAAACTTGCTCCCCGTCTGCGGGTCCAACTCTGAGAATGAGCTGTCAGAATCTGAGCCACAATCTAAGCTCCTTATAGGGGAGTACATAGGAGAGCACTGTAGGGGTTCTTGTCCCTACCAAACACGAGCAAGATTGCCCAACCGGAGGGAGCGAGACCTCTGTATCTTTACCTGGCCACCAATCCTGGCAGATTCGTGGTTTTGCCGCGCGTGCTTCTCTTGAGCTTCAGACGGAGGTGGCAGGTGTGAATGAAACATGGCAGATGGGTTGCACGCAGGCAGGTCTCGCGCGAAGTGCCGAGGAGATGACGGTAAGGTCGATGCTGCAAGTGCCCTGGATGGAAGCTTGTGTTCAGCCAGACGTACTTGGTTGGTCAAAAGTTAATCCTCGAGTCGACAGCTGCAGCTGGCCAAGTGGCGGATATAAAGCAGTTGACTGCATGGACGGATCCATGAGCATGTAGGCGATGTCAGCTGAGAGCATGCTGTGAAAATGAGCCCGGGTGAGTGTGGTAATAATAGATTGAAATAACGGTAATATTAGGAATAATAGCAATAGTAATACTGGTAATAATATTAAGAGTAGCAATAACCGTATAAGAAGGACTGGCCATGGCGCTTGTTGTTAGCTCTGAAGGGCAGCATTGCCTCTGGAGGCCTTGCATGTAAGTTTCTGCATGTCTCTAAGATGTGTAACCCAGACCCCTGATTAAGAAAACCCCCTCCGCTTACTAGGGATCCTAATATGTAGGCCCTTAATCGAAGGGGGTTTATTGGTCACGGGTCCGGGCTAGTTCTCGTTCCTGTAGCGTTCAGAGGTCAGCATTGCCGCTACAAAGCCCCAGGGCAACCGTCACAACCAGCTCACTCCACCAATGTCGCCTTCAAGTAGTTTCTGGAGTGATGCCTCGCTCCCGTCTGAGGTCCTGCTCCTTCATTGTGGTCGTGCGCAACGGATTGCGAAGGCTCATGATGTTCTTCTGGTGTCTAGGTGCATAGGTCGTTCGACAGAAGCTGGAGTAAGAGCAGGATTTCGTGCTTGGAGCAGAGATTCTGTGAGGTTACTCCTGTTGCATTTAAATTCTCTGCGTCTACTAACGAACACCCGCACCGCCCCTGAATAGATATTCCCATAAGATGCAATGATACCATACTACGGGGGGGGGGGGCTTCATCAACAGGCGTTTGGAGGGGCTATGATTAGGGGGAGGAGATTTCTGTAATCATGCGAGCTATACGTGCGATTGTTTTGGTTGTTACTATGATTACTCGTACCTGCTACTGCTACTTCTCTTGGATCTTAGTAGTATTGTTAGATCTTGGGTTCAGTGATGGTGATCGGAAGGACGTGATAATTCAGAAGCCTGGCCATGAGTAAGGGTTCCATTAAGGATACTGTAGAAGTTTGAGCTGAATGGTTTGAAAGCTGACCACACACAATCCTACTTATATGCAAGCTCAGTTAGGCTACAGTTGAGCATGCCCCAACAGCCTGTTCAAATTCATTACTTCTTGCATTGCATGGTGATCATGACCATCCTTCGTCCGACTGCCACTGGTGCAAGCAAGCAGTCGCGTGTCTGGTCTTTGTGTACCCAGAAGTATGGGGAAGTCCACCCACACAAACATCCCGGCCTTCTGGTGCCGGGGTCTCTACGACCATGGTAGGGGATTACAGCTATCGGATCCATCTTCCGCACTGAGCAGAAACCTTCCTGTCCCACAACAGGTGAGACAACTGGGTTGCTGTTAAGGATCTTAAACCAAGTTACTATATTGGGGAAACCCTATTATTTACTATATATACCCATTATGGTAACTTAGTTTAAGTTCCTTAAAAGCAACCCAGACAAGTGTTCACTACTAGAAACCAGTAAGTCTTTAATTTCAAAAATAGCACTCAACTGCCTCTTCCTCTTCAGGACAGCTTCAAGTTGTTGTCCTGCGCTTCTGCGTGAAGCATGGCCCTTCCGGAGCATTGACTCAGGAGGATGTGGCAGATCCAGACAACAAAAAGCAAGTGCTGAATATCACGTGGGTGGGGGACTTTAAAATCAGTGGGGGGTACTTGCAATGTAAGTCCTGTAGTGCCATTTTCCGTTTTCCTTTTCATTTCATTCTCCAGTATTCGGGTGGACGTGGCCAACTTGATTCTGGAAGCGCCAAGAACCCGCCTCCGCAGTTGAATGCAAGAGGTCTTGCACTACTGGGTTCAGGGTTTAGGGCCATGATTTCTGCTTCTCACGGGTGAGATTCGGGTGTAGGGGTTAGAGCTTAGGCTTAGGGTTTGGGGTTCAGGGTTCAGGTTAGGGAGAAGACGGATGAGGCCCTCACGCTTCCCAGGGCATGTCTGCGAAACAGAAGGATGGGCAAGGTCTACAGAAAACATCGGAAGCCTTTCGTAGGTGCAGAAAGGTTTCATACGAACTTTCGAAAAACAGTCGCAAGAGAAAAAACAAACACGAACTATCGTTAGCTTGATGGTCCACAGCTCCTTCCAGCAAACAGATGTTTCTGCCTGAAGATGACTTTGGCTCATGAAACCCTAGAGCCGTAGAAGTGAGACCGAACCCATTCTCGCGCCCGTCCTCAACATGGCCATCCTTGGTCGGATAGTCTGCAGCGCCTTCCTGCAGCTGGCAACATCTGCGAAGATCTCGGATGTAGTTGTCGATGGCCCTCTCGACTTTGGGATGAAGTTTTCGGGTTTAGGTTCTTAGTATATATTGCGGGTATCTCTAGGGGATAATGGAAAAGAAAATGGAAACCACTATAGTATATTGAGGATTATATAGGGAAATTATACTTAGTGGGGATTAGGGGAAGGTATTCTCAAAATCCGATTTCTCTTTTACCGCTTGGAGTGATACCCCACCCAACCCGTTCAAGTTTTCAGTAAATATGAGGGTTTCCCAAAATTATGGGTACCTTTATGAGGGTCCCTACAGTGAGGGCTATAAGGCTTGGGGATCTATATTTGGGTCCCACTAGTGTGGGAAACTATCGCAACCAGGACGCGTGGGCAGGGGCTTTCGGGCTGTAGTTGGGTGGAAACTTGGACGGGTCTGCGCAGAGTGAGCCTGTAAAACCACGGAAGGGCTAAAGCTTCTGTTGTTATCATGTAAGCTATAGTCTAAACTCCTTAAAGAGGGTTATATAGGGGATTATATCAGGGACTACTGTAGGGCTTATTAAGGGGGATACTAGGAGTTTTAGACTATGGCTCATGTAAAAGTGCGAGTCTTGGTTACTCGGGCATTCTGTGGATCATAGCAAGAGGACATGGCCTTGCATGGACTTAAGAATCTGAAGCTTGGTCCGCCCTTAATAACCCCAATATAAACCGCCATATAATCCCTATATAAGCCCTATAATCCCTGTAGTTTCCATTTTCTTTTCCATTACCCCAATATAACACCAATATACTCAAATTGGAACCAGCAAACCCTTAGTCCTGTGAGGCACTGTGCAGCCACTGCCTTCAGGAAAGGGATTGCATAGGGATGTATACGGGAACAAACGGCGAATCAACGGGAAAATGAAATGGAAACTACTATTTGCTGCTCCGGAATTTAAACTAAGTACCCATAATATGGCATATCGTAAATAAAGGGGCTTCCTTTTTATTGTAACATGAATTAAGTTTCTTAACAACAACGCATTCCCTAACCCCCAAAATCTAAACCCTAAACCCTACCCCCTGAGATCCTAAGTGGTGGGCTTATAGGGGATACTACAACCCTAAGTATCCTAGGGACCCTCAGGACCCCCCCTACCTGGTACCCCACTAAAGTATAAACAGAGAACTTCTTCCCCCTGCTGAGTTGTAGAAGAAAATCATCTATCAGGGTACTATGCTTTCAATCCTACATCCTACCCGATGTTGAGCATTCCAAATACGGCCTAACCCAGGATTCGCTTACGCTGCTGCAGCATTCCATGGGCTTGAACAAGCCGCTGGGCATAAATTACTGTACATACCGATTATATAGGGCTTATATTCCTTTATTCCTTACTAAGCACCAGTAGGAGTAAGGACCGTAAGAAGTTAAGGGCCGAGGATTCTTGTTCAAGGTGCTTTCAGGTCCCTTAGGCCCTAAACCATGAGGTCAAGGGTGTAGCTAGGTTCTAGAGTGTACAGGCTGCTTAAGATTGCCTTAGGCTAGGTAGGTTGAGGCCTGAAGGCTTAGGGTTTTTAGCTCATCAGGTTTCTGTGTCCCTTTTCCGTGCCTTTCATAAGAAAGATCAGGTGAAGTTGCAGGCGCTCCTGCGAGAAATGCTCCTCTTTGTATTCTGCTGCGTACCCTGTTTCCCGTTTCTCAATCCTTGACTCTGAACCCCACACCCTGAACCCTCAACCCTTCAACCCTATACCCTATACGCCCTAAACCACTTAGGATCAGCCCTTCTCTGCCTAGTGCCGCCCTCATGGTGCAGAGACAGGTGGAAGGCGCAGACATGACACTGGGCCTTGCAACAGATCAGGGTTTAGGGCTTTAGGAGTCCAAGTAGCTGTATTGCGTGGATATGGGGTCATAAGGAGAAACTGGCAATCCCCCTTGAAGATTATATAGGGATGTTCACACTGCTCATCCTAAGCAACTCCTGTGTACTTGTTTTTAAGGCCCAAGCATGTGCTGCGTGAATGCCTGCATGCTTTGGGCTTTGGGCATGCATGCACCCAAAGGCCAATGGCGCCAGTCTCTGGTAGGAAGCAGCTGAGGATGGCGCCTCACACCACCGAAGGCACGTGCTTGGCGAATGATGCCCCATGCGTGTTGTCAAGCAATGTTGTCGGGCTTTGAACCTACACACCTGTAAACCCCAGCTGGGATTTGGGATGTCGTGCGACACTGATTGCAACCAAGAGGGTCGCTAAGAGGAGTTGTTGGCTATCACCGTTCTTGGGCCCCGAGTTCCTTTAGGTCTGAACACCTAAACATCAAAGCAAGCCGTGCTGAATATGCCTGGGGCGGAGATGTTCCATAGGTTTGGGCGCTCTCAAGATGGAAGCAAGCTCAACTAACGGTCTGTTTGTTCTTGGAGGGGCGAGCACTTAATGAAGTGTGTACCTCATAGGTGGTGCTTTGGCCGCAAGCCCTCAGCAATGAGCCCAGATTCATCGGCTGCGTCCAAAGGGTCTCCAAGCTTTTCACAAAGCGCAGCTTAGGGAAGTAGATGGACGGTGATTTTCGTGCCCTGTCTACCTACACTATCCTCCCATCCTCCAATCCCAAACACCTCAACCCTAAACCCCCAAACCTCTTTTTTCCAAGCCCTAAAGCCCTAAAACTCGAAACATCTCTAAACCCTAAATAGTAGTTGCAATTGTATTTTCCATTAGCCCCAATATCACCCTAAACCCTAACCCAGGTCCAAGCCATCCTTTCTGGCTTAAAGGACGCGGACCAAACCCTCTCGCGCCTTGGACTATAGGGGTTTCGGGTTTAGGGGTTGAGGGTTTCGGGGTTTAGGGGTTTAGGCTTTAGGCTTTAGGGGTTTCGGGTTTAGGGTTTAGGGGTCTATATTCGAAGAGTTCATCCCCACTTCTTACTGTTCTACTACTGCTGACAAGTGGGGGAAAGGAGCATTGCTAGTACAAAGAGGCAGAGTACAAATGGGAGTTAAAAATGACAGCAGAAGAACCAACAGAAACATAAGTGGTGTGTGGAATGATGGTAAAAGCAATCAGTGCAAAGTTAGACATGTTCTTACCGGTTCTTAGCACGGAATAAGGGAATATAGGAATTACATTCCCTGATTCCCTGCTAAGAACAAGTAAGTGTTGGACTGAGAGAGGAGGCGTTTGAGTTTCTTCCTGACCTAAACCTAAAATCCTGAACCCTCAGTCCGAAACCTGAAAACCTAAACCCTGAAACCTTAACCCTAATCTGCGACTCTGTTGGACTTCCTGTCCCAATGTCATGAATCAGAGTGTCAGGGGGCTTTTGTAATTTGTAAGTGGTTTAGGGTTTGGGGGTTTAGGGTTTAGGGACTTACACTGCAGAGTTCCTTCAGGCCGGCCCCCAAATCCGATAACCCCCCAAAAAGGTACCCCCCCAATCTTGGGAACCTTCAGGTATACCATAGGTATACCTACAATCCCTAGAAGCCCTTTGGTTCCTCCAGTAATCCCTGTTATTGACCTACTCGATAAGTCCCCCCGGCCCTCCAAGCATGAATCGGCACACCTCTGTGACAATGGATGCTAGGTCGTTGGCTCGGGTCATTGCACGGTTAAAGGTGACAAGAACCCCTGTTTGCACAACTAAAAATCATAATCCGTTTTATGGAGACTGCCAAAAGGAGCCCAAAACATCCCATGTAGAGTGAACGTTAGGATCAGATCAGAGCGGCCAGCCAAACCCTTCGCAAAATTGCGTAAAGCCAAGGGCCAACAAAATCCAAGCTACCCTTAGTGCTTCTCACTGAGGGCAGACCGATTAGATGTCTACCATGGATTGCATCGAAAAAGAGCCCAGAATGCCAGTTGCATTGTAATTACACCCTGAACTCTGAGGCCTACGAACCCTGCCCTGACTCTGTGAGAAGAGTGGCGATTCATAACTTCCCTTTTAACAACAAACTACCATGTTTCCAGCATGCTTTCTAGGTCCCTCAACCTCCGGACGTATCTTAATATCCATATAAAGACCCCATGCAATTCTTCTTTGAAAGAGAAGCTCCAGAATCACCTTGCTGCCATCACTTCATCAATCATCTCTATAAGTTAAGTTGGAGACTCCCTCCACCCATTCACAGCTGGATAGTTTTTATAATTGAACTATATAGAGCCTTTAATATGACCCCTATTTATAGACAGTTAAGGGGTAGGGGCAGGACCCAAGGTAAACCCTAAACAGTAGCTTCCATGTTCTTTTCCATTATCCCTATATAACTCCCATATTACCCCTGTATAACCCCTGTGTTGCATCTAGGTGGGGCGTTGGATTGCCAACTCTGGCACTTTTCTTGCTTGGTATTACAGTGCTTCTAGCGGCTTGGAGGCAAACCGATGAATTCGTTTGGTGAGTAGATAGTAGGGGTTAGGGGCTAATACCTATATTTGCGAGTATATAGTGGGGTTTCCGAGCAAATGCCGCAGTCGTCAGAACTTCACAAGAAAATGATTGTAGATGTATTGACCTGGTTTGCACTTATAGCAGATGAGGGTTTGCAACTATGGTTTTCTTCACTTCGGCCCGTGTATCTGTACCGACTCCTTTGCGAGTGCTTTGGCCCGCACTTGTACGGGCTAGCCAGCAGAAATTGATGATTGACCCATCGAATCAGGATCTTTCCACGAACCCTGGGACTAACAGGTATAACAATACAAATATAGCTACAAGACTTCAAAGTAAGAGTTGTAATAGTGAATAGTGATAATGGGCCTTCAACCTCTGAACCACGGAGTCCTTGAGTGCTGAGGGGGCGTTAAACCGCACTACCGAAACCTCAAAAGTAGGTAAATTCATGGCCCAAACCACCCCAACACAGTCAAAAAGGCCATTGGCTTGCATACTTTGAGGGCCATTGTGTGGCCATCTTTTTCAGAGGGAGGTACTCTCCGAGGGTCCCCTCGCCTCATCATTGTACCCCAGCCTGCGTGATAATTTGCCCCCAATCCGCTCTGATAATACTGCTAACTGAGTATTCCTCACCGTATAAGTACCACTTTGGAAATGCTGCTGGTTAGGCTGAGGGTATGAAGTTGCACGAGAATGATTGGAAGCTGCTGAGGTCGGTCATCGCTTGGTGACCCCGGTGGTCGCAGTGCTGACTTTAAGCAGCTGTTGAGTTTGCTCATGGGAGACTGCGTGTGCTGAGGGTGTAGAATTTGATATGGCCTGCACATGAGCAAGCCAATCTGGGTATTAGAAAGCAAGCTTCAGGGCAAAGTATGAGAGGCTGTATCAGGTGGACCCCCCACCCTGTAATATTGACTATCAGGGATAATCGGGATTCTATAACGACCCAACATACCGCTATCACAGAGAGCTACAGAAGGAGGAGTAGATTCATCACTGGCCGTCAGGCCTGCAGGCGCTCGAAGTTGTAGTACAAAAGATGGAGGGTTGGGGCTTCAGAGTATATTTCTTATCCTCCACAATCATTCGCATTATTCTAGGCCATAAAGGGTCCGTTATATAGTGGCTAAGGGCTATGTTTCCAGGCATTTGGGAGGTCTAGATAAGGAATGAGAGAAGGGTTCCCCCGTTGAAATTCTCTGTGCCTACAGCCGCGGAAACAGTGGAACTGAAGCCTACAGTCCAAACTGAGGATTTCCAACATTTGTGGTCCTTTTTTTCTCTGGGAGTGGCATTTAGGAAGGAGGTTGAGCCCTAGACCCTAAACCCGTGTAGACTCTCGACTAGCTGCGGTGCCAGAAAGCGTAGGACCGAAGGAAACAAAAGCTACAAGGTTGCAGGGTTTTACCGTTTAGGGCGTAAGGGTCTAGGCCATAGGGTGGTGTTGAGGATTGAAAAGTCAGGTCATTGTGACCGCGATTTTGGCGGCTTTCTACTTTAGCTTCGAGCTCTTGAGGGCATCCTTCTCAACTTCCTGTGCCCCTTGGTCTTGATTAAAGTAAAAGGATTACTGCAGACAGGGAAGGCCAAGAATATAGAACATAATGGAATAGAAGGATCCTGGTCAGCACATATCCATCCCTAGGGCTGCAAATGGCCCAATGTAGGTATTATCTCTAGACATGGAGCCCCAGGGCATCATATTCCTACCCTATTCCTGGGGTTCCCTGTTTGGGTTCGCCATGAGGGTCGGGCCTAGGCGGGGGAAGTCATAACCTGATCCTGCAAAAGGTGCACCGAGCAGGGGTCGCCAGTCTACGGATGATGTTACGGTTGGTGGTTGAGAGCTTTGGGGTTATAACCCCCACTCATTGGAGACAGTTTGACCAATATAATTTTAAAAAAAGGTGGAAAAAAAGGTTAAAAAATGTATTCCAAAAAGGTAAAGGTAGAGAAAAGGTAAATCGTGGAACATCAAGAAAGGTATTTTTTTATAAAAAAAGTAAAAAAAAAAGTAACAAAAAGGTAAAAAACAAGGTAAACCGGGTAGACAAAGGTAAAAGAAAAATGAAATTGCATGTTTTTTTTACCTGTTTCTTACCTTTTTTCTACCTTTTTCGAACCTCTTCCGCGTCGAGCCAGGAAAATGTTTGGAAATCAG